TTCTAAAATTTAAAGAGCTCTTTTTCTGTGTGTGAGAAAGTCCTCCATTAATGACAACAACTCTGTGTGTGTGTGTGTGTGTGTGTGTGTGTGTGTGTGTGTGTGTATTGGCAGTAGCATTGCCTTTCCTTGTAGGAGCAAACAGATCTGGCCCAAGGCGAGTCTTATTTTAATTTTTTCTTCAATCCATTTCTGAGAGCTTCGGTCTAGCCCAAAGAAAGGTTCTACAATATCCCTAGCTAACTCCTGTCCTTTTCTAAAACAAAATAAATTAATTCCCAGAAAGACTCCCTTAAACCTGTTTCAACCCATCTACTGAAAGACTCTTCTAAAATCCAGAAAACAAATTAAGGAGCAAGAGATTTCAAAGAATGGAGAGAGATGAAGGACAGCCAGTGTAAAGAGAGAATAAACAGATCAACTATTTGTGGGCCAATACTGTTGGCCTAGGATGAGACAGAGCTCTGGTGAAATACAACACACACCTGGCCCCAGAGGAAGACTGGGTAGGTACGCAGGGGAAAAAGGTCAGAGGACGAGCAAGTGGGGACTCAGGTCTGACCAACTGACCAAGAGTTTTTTCTTACTCAAGTAAAAGACATCTCTGAAGGAGAAAAATTCTTTTAAAAAATGTTGTAGCATTGGCTGTTGTGGCTCAGCAATTAGAGCATTGGCCCGTGGACCAGAGATGTCCGGGTTCAGTTCCCGCTAAGAGCAGTTTGTCCCTGGTCGGTCGTGTGGGTGGTGACCACTCAATGTGTCTCTCTCACATCGATGTTTCGCTCTCTCTCTTCCTCCCTCTCCCCCCGCCACCGCTCTCTCTGAAGATAAATGCAAAAATGTCCTCTAGTGAGGATAAAAAAATAAAAATAAAAAATGTTGTCTCTATTTTGAAATATTCCAACCATTCTGGTATTAAATTAATTCTCAAAGAAGAGAAATTGCCTGCATGGATCCCTTTTTGAACTTACTACAAAATCCTATTATATTAATTAATATTTCTAATTATTAGCTCATAATACTCTGGAAAGCACACTTTTGTGTGCCAACTACATCAGTACCTTGTGATCTTTACCCTGGGAAAATGGAGAAACTCGGGGTGTCTACGAAAACCCCTAACTGTGGCTGGTTCCATTTTCCTGATTCCCTGCTTATTCTGTCTCACCATATCCAGATGCCTCTTCTTCCTTCATCATTTCTCTTCCTACTCCTCTTTCTATTTCCTTTTCCTTTCCTCATCTAGGACTTACATCTGACTGAGGTCCTCTGTCATGTCCTGAGGGCCATCAGAATGACTCGGGGTTTCCTAAGTCCCTCACTATTGACATTTGGGGCTGGTTAATCCTCCATTGTAGGGGGCTCTCCTGTGCACTGTAAGATGTTGAGCAACATGCCTGTTCTTTACTCAACAGATTTCAGTAGCACCTCCTTCCCGAATGGTGACACACCAACATGTCCACATTGCCCAGTTTCCCACATGAGGGGCAGAATCTCCCCCTTGTTGGGAATCACTGGAATGACTGAATCTGCTTCCCTCCTTAGTAACTTTAGGAATTGGGGGTAAACAAGGAATACAATGAAGTCCAAGGAGGAAGCAGAGAAGAAATGAGCTCCAAACGCATCGTTATCAGATAGGTGGGCGGAGTCCAATCTCTCTATGAATTCTAGTGTATCCGCCAAACTCAAGAACATCTGTAAGCACCATGCTTTTTGCTTGTCTAAATTATCGGTTACAGGTTCCATGAGATGCCATTAGGATGCAAGGGCCAGGGCCTTCGTCTGTCGACCTCAGAAATTTTCAGCAGGCTATAAATATCCCACATGCTCTTGTATCACCCAGCATGCCTTGTTAGGTTAATGTGAGGTGTCATTTTCGAGCCCCGGCAATTCGCTCTGAATTTGGGGAAGGAAGAAACCACAGCAACGAAATGCTCAGAGGGCTGGAAACTGCCATGTGGCTTACTGATCAGGTGCCGTGAGCCCTAGCACCCCTTTCTGAAGGCCGGTCTCCTCTTGAGTTCTCTCCAGCCGTAGAAAACAGCTAAAATCCCAACTGCAAATTAACGAGCTGACAGAGTTTCTCAAGTGTTGAAACGTACTGGCACGTATTCTTTCTATCACAGCTAATTCTCCAAGTGTATTTAGTGCCATCTCATGCACAAGAAGGTTTGTTACAAAGCGGGCAAGGCAGTGCGTGGTCCATGCTTCTGACCGGTTTCTCCTACGTTGCCCCCTAACTCCCAGCGAGACAGACTAGGTGGAGGGTCTGGTGTGAATGGCTTCTGTTTTAGGAATCAAAAGATTTCGGGTTACATTTCCTGCCAGTTTGGTTTTGTCACTTGCTACATGAAACAAACAGCACCTCTATTCCAAGTATTTTACGCGCATCCTTGGAAAAACAGAGACATCCATCGGCATCATCCCAGCCTCTCAGCAGCGCTTGAGACATTTCATTACTTCTTCCTTCTTTGCATGTGCTTCACGCTTGCCTTTCATGACGCCGCCGCCTCCTTGATGTCCAGCCCTCCTGCTGCTCCTCCGTTCCCATGACTCTTCTTGATGGACTGTTCTCATCAACTTGTGTCCTTCTTCATCGAAACTCTCCCTGGGTGATCGCCTGCAGCCTAAGTTCAAGTACCATCCACGTACTAATGACTCTCAGATTGCCCTCTCTGGTCCTGAATTTTTCAATGAGCTTTAAAATTCACGTGTCCAGCTTTCGACTTGTGGCTCTAACAGGCATATCAAAATGAGTGTAGCTAAAGCCGACCTCTATTCACCATCCCTCCAATTCCTTCCTCCTCCTGTCTCCCCGAGATCCAAGCTAAATGTTAACGGTTATAGCCCCCCAACTCCTTGCTTCAATCAGCTCTCCTGTGCTCTGCTGGGGAAAGTTTCCCACCACGTTAATTCAGATACAGCCTCTCTCAGTTAAGCTTCCCATTTAACGAGCAGATCCTGGGCTTCCCTAGATCTCTTTTACCCCAGCCTTCCCTTAGTCCCCAAGGACTGTGCTCTTTATAATTGTGCAAGGAGGGGTGTGAGGCAAAGCCTGACACATCTCTGACCACTGCGCGGGTGATCCTACATGGCCAGAGCACAAAGCCTTCGGACGTGACGTTGATCATGCAGTGGTCTTGACACCAGGGTTTGACCGGACTGCAAATAAACCAAAAATACTGCAAAATTTTACACAAATACCATTCATTTTGCTGCATGTTTTTATTATCAAATAATAAATGAAACAAATATCCTTATCACATCTTGGGTCTCAAACATCCTCTGATCTCTGTGGACACGTACAAACACGGCCAAAGAAAGCACAGTACAAAGTAACACATATCAAAACCCTGACATCAAATAAGCCAGGGTAATAAATAAATGCATTCGTTTCATCAAACTAGTTAGAATTAATGTCTGACATGTGTATTTGATACAACTGCAACAGTTCAAAATGTCCATGAGTAAAAAAATGCAAACTCTTTAAAAAAAAAAAAAAAGTACACTCTTAAAATCTCATTGCTGCCACAGTGCCAATTTTTAAAAAGCGGAGCCCAGCTCTAGCTTTTAAAAGCGCTAGTTTTAAAATAAAATTACACCTACATGGCAGCTCTAGGGAAATCACGGAGGTGAGGAACCTAAAAAATAGAGTGGAAATTTGCCTTTTCATGGCTGGTAAGAAACAGTCTCAGAAATAGAGTTTACTTTCCCCGTGAAAGCACACCCTACGCGGATTCTCGTTCTCTCCACTGTAGCCAGAGGAAGCGGGGTCTCTGGAGCAGCGGGGGCTCTGGAGCAGCGGGGCTCTGGGAAACACACATGCGCACAACGCCAAGGCCATTCCTGCAGCTCAGCCTCAGGGCAACGGGGCTGCTTGGCTGGGGGGGGCCGGGCATCTACTTGCAGGGGAAGGGAGCTTCCTGGAGGCCACAGGCTCAGGGCTGTAAAAATTATTGTTTCTGTCGCTTCTGCAGAAGGATGCTAAACTGCAGTTTTCTGGTAGAGCAAATTTGTGGCCTTTACCTACATAAAATGTGTTATGTGGAAGTTACCCCCAAACCCACAGAGAGGTGCTGATCCTGGAGGTAAACGCTGAGATCTCCTGAAAGCCCTCCTCCTCCACGCGGAGGGAGAAAAGGGCCCCGGAGAGGGTTTATTTGGAGGGACTCACCGGCAGGCTCGGATTCCCCCACATCTGTCCCAGAAGGCAGGGGAGCTGGGCCTTTCGGGGAACTGGGCATGTGCCTGAGCAGTTTGGGGTGACTCTGAGCATGGGGATCTGAATCACGCCTGAGAAATCGAATGGGTAAGAAGACGCTGGTCAGGCCTGTGCGGCACAGCGAGGTGGGAAAGGGGGAAGAAACCACCCGACAACTGCTGGGGCGAAGGACAGCTGTGTCCTGCTGTGGGCGCACACGGGTCACTAGGGACAGGCAGGCTGGGTTTGTCCCATCGAGTCCAAAAGACCAGGACGGGCTATCAGGTGCATCAGACTGTGTGGCGGTTGTGGGAAGCAGAGAATTCACTTCCCTGGAGGTAAAGGAGACACAGTCGGCCCCGGCTGCTCACGGCAGTCGTCTTGGTCCAGAGAAACATCTAACCCAGAGGGGAAATGGACAGAAAAGGAGAATGGAGAAAAAAAAAAAAAAACAGCAGAAAAATGGAGCACGAAGTGTGGCCAGTGGTGTGCAAAACCCAGCCTTGACCTTGTGCTGATGAGAACAGACCCCTGCCCCGCCGGGTTAGTGTGAGCTGCGTTTTCTAGCATGAAGACACGTTTCTGAATGATCTCGGAGCAAACCTGCAGTCCAAATTCGTGCTAGACTAAGGCTGTTCAAAACCCCAAACATGCTAAAGAATCAGAATGCCAACTCAACTAGGTTCTTAGTATAAACTCTGTCTCTGGGAAAGAGGTGCACTCTAATTCAAGTGAAACATTAACTGAAAGATGAACTTCTTTTGGCCGAAAGGTAAGAAACAGAGAGTCAATCATGTGTTACCTGGTAGTGAACTCTGTGGGAGCCAGAAGAAACTGACTGCAGGTCCTAATGAGAAAATGGAAAAAAATATATATGTATATATATCTTCATACCTTCAGATTAGTTTGAACCAGCTGCCTCTACAGCTCTATGCCCTGAACCCCCAATAGAACATTATTAGAGTCATCTGGAAAGTATCTAACTCACCCAAATTCATCAAGGTTAAGCAAAGAAGATAATGCCAAAAATAACAAAAGCTGGACTGAGAGAAGAAAGGTCATGTAGTTATTGAAACTGATAAATTTTAAATAGTGTTTAGAGGTGAGTGATATATTACAATTCCAAGGGTAAAGAAGACTGAAAGTAAAAGACAGGCAATTTTGTTCTAATAAATGGGGGTCATGTTTAATTTGCACCTGATCTTTCTGGCTTGTGAAGAAAGCTTCTCAAGTCCCGTTAAGCACTCAGAAAGAATTTATTTATCTTAGACCAAATACATACCGCCCTGGTAATTGTGTTTATACTGATAAGTTGCTAGACAAACACGGGTTTTCACAGACTGCAAAGAGAAAGTTGCGGGGCTCCTCCGCATTATCACGGAGAGCAAATTAACAAGGTTGAAATTAATGAGGTTTTACTGGCAGATTCTGAGAGCCTGGCTCTGTTTATGAAGTTTTATAACTAAGTCGTCACCATGGTCAAGTCCCCCAGGCGTCCTTGTTAATAAGCGTAGTGCTTCTATTTACAAATGTCAGCAATCCTGGGTAACTGTTCTCGTACCTGCTTCCTACAAGGATTTATCAACCTTCTCTCTGTGCCCAAGGTAGTTTTAAAATGTTGCCTCTTTGAGTTCGCTCTTTTTCTTTCTTTTTTTTCAAAACCCCACTTCTAGTTGAATATTGGTGTGATAAGCATGCCAATAAGTTGGCTTTCATCAGCCATATATTTTGCTGTTGTGAAATGGAAAAGTACCCAAGTGTTAAGAAAAAAAAGTTTCATAGCAATTATGACGAACTTTCTATTGCAGATTTATTGAGTGAGGTTTCCACAACAAAATACAAATATTATTTTGAAAAATGAGATACTATGTCCTAGACGTAATGATTGAGACCTGAGTCACAGGCTAAAAAGTTCACAAATTTTAACAGGTTAGAGTTATCCTCGGTAAAAATAGCCAAATGAGGTCACAGGTATAAAATTTGTTGACTTTTCTTGTCTCACTCCATCAGTATTCAACACTTAGCATTTAGCCCAAAATATTTTGCATTCACAATTTCTCTACCTTGAACAACACTGAAGAAAAAAATTAATAATTTTTCACATTACTTTATAAATCCTACCTGAATTTATTTCCAGAGAAATAAAATCTAATGCTCAAGCCAAGTGGCTACAACTTGAAAGGATTTTAAATACTATCTATCTTCTTTATTTGTGACATTTAGTTATATATAATGTGTTATGTGGAAGAGAGTTGCTCATTTTAGGTACCTAAAAAAAATTACCCAATAACTTAAAAAATACAAATGTCCAGACCACATCCAAAAAAAAAAAGTGATTCTAATGTACATCTTTCATCAAGAAACAATGATAAAAAAGTGGCTATTGCCCAGCCAGTGTGGCTCAATGGGTGAGTGTCAACCCATGCACCAAGAGGTCCCCAGTTCGACTCCCAGTCAGGGCACATGCCCAGGTTGTGGGCCCAATACCCACTAGGGGGCGTGCAGGAGGCGGTCAATAGGTGTTCACGCTCATCGATGTTTCTCTCTCTCTCTCCCTCTCTCTAAAATCAATAAAGAAAAAAAAAAATCTTAACAAAAAAGAAGTGGCTATTTATGCTCTTTGCCACTTGTAAAATAAAGAGAGTAACTTTTCTAAAATCCACCCATGATCACTGCAAGCATGGTCTTCGGTCTCCTGCCTTTGCTGATGCACTTCGAATTCACCGGAAGGTCATATACGAGATCTCTTCCTCTCCTCTCTCTTTCGGATTGAGGGAAAAAAATAGATGATGCCTTTGTGTTCTGATACAAGTTTCTATAAAATACAGTTTTTCTTTCCTGTATTTACATTAAAAAATAAATCTAGCTGTCTCTGACAGAAGTCTGTGCTAGATACAAAACATTAAATAACTCCAAACCTCTGTATTCTTTCAGTATTTATTAGTGCCCTATAAAATTCTGCAGAGCTAAAAAAAAAAAAAAAAATGCAAGAATGTAGTCTGGCAAGAAGACAAGATGTTCCAAACTGCAGTTATGGATCACACTCGAACACCACGCTGCAGTTCACCTGACGGACCCTCTCCCATTCCAACCACCTGAGCAGAGAACCGGCTGGGGCCGGGGAGAGGGCTGTGGTGTGTGAGTAAAAGCCATGGCCGCAACATTCCCATTTCCTCCCCAAACACATCATTTCAGCAACAAAGATGGCTGGCAATTGCTCACAACAACGAAAAACTAAGTGAAACACATACTTGGCTCTAGAAACTCACCTCCTGTAGGCGATCTATGTACATACGGCAAGTCTCCAAGTCACAGTCTCCACGCACAACTAGAATACCCAGAGGGATGGCTAAGGGGGAAGAAAAGAGAAAAGTCTAGAGTAAAAGAGTTGCTCTTTCTAGATTGGCACACATGTGTTTCTGAGGGTTCAAAAAAAATCTCAAAAATTATCATTGTTCTTTTGGGGAGTTGAATCCGAACTTCTCCGTCCACCTCCTTTCTGATCTCGATCTCTTTGTTTGTGCAGTTGTCACATGCTTCCCTTGCATTCCATGTCGCCCTTTGCCACCTGGCCAGCCTCCACTTCATTTTCTCCCAGTGGCTCTGATATGGAGTGCAATATCATGGAAACAGTGGTTGGCAGCACCAGGAGGCTGCCCATAGCCAGCTGATAACGTTTGCCTCCATTTGCAATAGCCAACGTACCTGACAGGAATTAAAAAAATCATGATTCTGGACACTTACTCCTTTGTGTCCAGTTTGGGGTTTAACCTTTTTGTCAGTTTGCAACAGGTCCCTGTCTGAGAAACTCAACTACTCAAGGCACCATTGCTACCTGGTGGCCAACAGCAAAACTAAACAGGCATAAAATGTTAAAGGGAGAAAAAGAAAAGAAGCAGCTTCTAGAAGTTTCACAGCTTAACAATCCAACTGATTATGAAGATGGTCAGTGTAAATATGGTAGCAGCAAGGCTGTAGGAAATAATAAGGCAAAGCTAGTAAGTGCCTTAAACACCCTATTTAGGAAGTGACAAATGTCACACGGTGGCTTTTTGGACAGAACCTCCTACTTCAGAAATAACCATAAGATTCCTGAAATACTGAAAACATTGTCTCCTTCCCAGAACTTCAAAAAATGCATGCATTTCTGATTTTAAAAGCACAATTACACATTAAAGCCACAATTTAATTTGAAAAAAATCTCAAAATCTTGAATTAACCAAGCAAAAGACCAGCAAGCAGATAATAAGACGGTGGTGTTTACTAAAGTTTTTTTTTTTTTTTTTTAACTTTGCATTCATTGAATTTATTTTTAAAGTCTATCCCCAATAAATGGAGCTGAAAATGCTTTAAAATTAATAATACAGAGAATAAAAAACATTTAAAGTGCATGGAAAAATCTTGAGGAACTCACAAAGTAGTAGAGAAGGCATATATATAAACAAACAAAAAAAAAAATAGTAATGTAACATAGGCTATAATAAATGTATGAACTTAGTCATTTGAAAACTGTCGGAGAGAGGGACCGATTCTTGCCCGAAAGTCAGACACAGGATTCCTGAAGACAGAAACCACCTCAGCTCTTTCCCTTAGAGAAGCAAGGGTGATCTAGAGAAGAAGCAAGTTTGTTTCTCAATATTACCTCCTCGGTTGGTTTCCACGAGAGATCAGTACCACCACCCCGTTCCTTTAAGTTCCCAAAGTCTTGCATACATAAAGCTTGGACATCCATCGCCTTTATAGCTATTTGTAAGTCTGTGAATGAGTCTGGGCTCTCCCATCAGGAGTAAGACTTGTTTACCTTTACAGCTCCCATGTCTGGTGGAGAAATGGTAGATGTTCAATCACAGCTTGTATAAGGAGGGAGAAGGGCAGGCTTTGGACCTGTCCAAGCATGAAAGAGGAAGTGTACCTTTAAGGGCTGAGAAAATGTCCAGGGTAGGCAAGGAAGCAAGGGTTTGGAGCAGGAGGAGAGACCATGCACTGGGCCGGAGCTTGCCTTTGCCCATTCTCTTCGATGCCAAGCAAGAGAGCCAGTCAGCAAAAGGGTGAGGAATCCTGCAACTGTGACACATTTGAGCAATAGTAGTCAGGAAAATAATTTCCTCTCTTTTCTAAAAAATATAATCGGAAACACTGAAAAAGTCTTTAGTATGGTAATCATGCGTCTTTGAAAGAAATGGAAGTGAAATTCCAAATTCCATAAGAGATCCCTTAACGTACTGGTTAAAGTAATCATCTTCAGCTAGACGACTAGACAGATCCAGGTAAGGCGATCCACTGAGGTAGGAGAAGGAGAAGGATTACTAATACTCGAGGAACAAAGAGGAAAAGCTAGAATTTGGGCCTAGGAAGGAAGTCAAAGGTTGTGGCGATGGAATGTAGTGATAATTAACGTTAAGAGCCCATGTTCGAATCTTACTTAATGATATCTTCTCCTAATTTCTAATGTGTAAATGTAAAGAGATAAAATTTAATCCATATTTAACTATTTACTTAAATTCGGATACATTTTATAGAAGTATGGGAAACCTGTCAACATCTCTGATTTCCTTCTATTATCCATGCTTGGTGTTAGTCTGGTCATAAATGTAATGTTCTTGCAGAAGATGTTGTAAACTCAATTAGAGAACGAATATTCCAGACCTGGACTCAAGAAGGAATAGCTGGGGGCCATTTTTCAAAGATGCGTCATTTGTTTCTACTGTGAGTATAAAGTCAGCAACTTTGCCTGCTCCTCAAGAAGCTTATGAAGAGAAATAGTGCTTTTGCTTATCAGCTATTAGTTGATATTTATGAAAAAGAAAAAGGCTTTCTCTCCCACAGCTTCATGGCATGATTACTGACGACTGTTAAATGTGTCCACTGTGTGGTGGAAAGGATTTAGTCATTTTCTCTTGGATTCAAATCCCAGCACTGATTTGGTGTTACAAATTACTCACAATAGCTTTTGGTCTTGCGAGTTACTCAATTCCTTGATTCTCAGATTGAAGACTACAGTATTTAAAATAGGCATTTTCCAGGACTTTGTGAATATTAAATGGAACACTATATTTAAAATAAATAACTGAAACATTGGTTACTTCTCCTCTAATCCCTTGACTGTCTTTTGAGACTCTTGAGCTAGAAAGTGGATTCATCCAATCATCTATCTTTTAATGTATCATAATACCATAAGGAATAGTGGTGATAGTTCCATAAATTATATTCCTGTTTACTCAAAACTAACTTCTACTTTTCTGCCATGGGAAAAATAACGGTAGTATAAAAAATACTCTAATCTGACACTTCCATTTGGATTTTACCTAGTTAAGAGGAAGCAGAAATCTATGGAAAATTACCATCTTCCTTTTACATGATTGACAACCAACTGGCAAACTTCGGCGAGGTTCCCTTCGTGGGAACTGGAAGAGGAAGACAGCTCATCACCTGAGCCCGGATCTCGACAGCTCATCTGTCTTGGGCTGTAGAGATTTTACTTGACTCCAGTGTCCATCCGCTAATACTCAACCTGCATAATGAAACTTACCAGAGACCACCTGGAGTGCACAAGTTCTAACAAAGCAACAAAGACAAGCTGGTTTCTAGATTAAGATAACAGGTTTAACACATATTTCTCTCTCGCCAGAAATGCTACTAAATTATAGTAAATTGATTGAAAAAGATATGAAGCAATTAAAACAAAAAAAGAGGAGAAAAAGTGAGGACAAAATAGTGCCAGGTGAAGTAGCTGCAAAATTCACCCAGAGTTCCTACAGTCCGGTTCTAAGCATGGGGAATGCCCGACAACCAGCACACACTGCCAAATCCCAGGACGGCGTGCAAACTGGCAGATAAAGGGGCAGCTAAGCTAAGAGCCGCGGGATGCTGGATCCCTGGATTCCATGACCCCGTCTTGGCAGGTGCAGTTACTTTACAAAACTGGGGATTAACTGACTGTCTGTGGAATGTTGAGGTCCCCAGCTTTCTTCTGCCTCTAGGCTCTCCAAAAGTCGGCAGCCAGAGAAAACATTCCATCCATTAAGTGACGGCAACCTTCACAAAAGGAGAGGAAAAATAAAAAGAGGTATAAAATAGGAGAGAAATTTAAGAAAAAAACAAAACTGATCAAGGTGATCCATCATTTTAATAATAGGTATTCCAAAAAAAAAGAGAGAGAGAGAAAATATAGAGTAATTATCAGAAACAAACCAAAATAAAAGAATAAAAGTTCTTTCTTAGAACTGAATACTATTCATTGCCAAGTTCAAACGGCCTAACAAATGCTCAGCGCAATAATGGAATAGGAAGACATTTCATTGTAAAATGTAGACACTGGGACAAGAACAGTGCAGTTTCCCAGAGGAAACACTAGATGGCGTGCACAGGACCGGGGCTTCTCAAAGGCAACTCAGTGGGGCAGGAAACAATGCCTTCTGAATTCTAAGACTCACACAGAATCCAAACTATCTAACAAGTTCAAGGACCACACCGACTAAAGGACACGCCCTCTCTCAATAAGCTACTGCAGTACTTGCCCAACAAAAGCTGGGTCTGCAACAAGAATGAGGAATGCACGGGATATAACAATTAGAATCAACAAGGGAGTGAAGCAAAGGAAACCTCCAAGGGGCGGGGCTGGCAGATCCTAGGATGGCAGATGTATGTGGCTACCAAACAATACGTATTGAAACACTGTGACTCAAGAGACAGAGACGTTATATTCTCATAATCTTTGGAGAGTTATTTTTCAACCCACAGATAGAATGCCCAGGCAAATTCGAACCAGCCATATGTGTATACACACACGCACGCGCACACACACACATATATGTCTGTGTGTGTGTGTATAAAACAACACTGTGTCACCCCCAGATGTGCTCTGCCTTAACCTGGTCTTGAGAGCAAGAGTTAGGTCATGGTGAAGCAGAAAAATTCCGAGTCCAGTCTTTCCAACGATATTTCTACTTGATAGCTAGAACCCAACCTTACATCCTGGTAACTGCTTCTCACAATTCAATCATTACATTGCCCACTAAGTCCTCTTAGAATGGGCTCAGGTGTGCTCTCAGGGAAGCGGAAGCCAGACAACGATCCAGACTCTTCTATTCTCTAGAACGTTCATCTCAAAGTGAAAGCATCGTCTTTTCCTTACACGGGGAGGTTTAGGGCGGCTAAACCTCTTTTCAGAACCATGCAGTATCTGGATTAGAGATTCCTACATTGGTGGTAAACATCTTTCAAGAGAAAGGCAAATACAAAGTCAGTACGCTGGTTATTTTGGTAGGAGAGGGTTGAGGGCAGGTACTTGGTCTGCTCTTTCATCTGGGTGGCAGGTACCTGGGTACCAATTTTACTCTTCATCTTTCA